TATATATACAAATGCTGGGCATAAAGAGACGAATGCAATCATGATATCAGAATAGACCCTGGGGTCTGACCGAACCCCTAGGGACCTAGTTTCTTAGTCACAGCTTGGAAACAGTTGAGAGCCCCACCCTATAACCGTATATATACAATTGCTGAGTATAAAGAGATGATTGCACATATGCTTCCAGGTTAGCCTTGGGGACTGCCCCACTCTTGGAGACTTAACCCCTGGGTCATAACTTTGAAATGGTTAATATCCCCAGCCCAAAACTATATATACAATTGTTGGGCATAAAGAGACGAATGCAGTCATGATATTAGAATTGATCCCAGGGTCTGCCCCACCCTTGCCGACTTGGCCCCTGGGTCATTACTTTGAAACGGTTGAGATCCCCACCCCATAACTATATATACAAATGCTTGGCAAAAACAGACAAATGCATTCACGATATTAGAATCGATCCTGGAATCTGGCAACAACTCTAGGGACCTAGTTTCTGAGTCAAAGCTTGGAAACAGTTGAGATCCCCACCTCATAACCATACATAAAATTGCTGGGCATGAAAAATCTAATATAGCTATGCTACAAGGAATGGCCTTGGGGTCTGGCATATTCCCTTGATCTCATTTGGAGAATAGATTGCCATGATTGCTTAGGTATCCAGGTGAGCGATACAGGCCCTCTGGGCCTCTTGTATTAATTTAAGTACACTATAGTTGAAGAAAAACGTTCATGGGACCAAACAATTTGATCAGTTTAGACAGATATCCGTATTAGACAGTCTGGTTTACCCAGAGTCAACTGTACCAGCTGATGACGGACATTACAATGTTAGAAACAAAAACCAAGACGAACATGATTTGTCAAATACGTTTTATTTTCATACAATTTAACATGTAACATACAGTATACAATAAATGCACTCCATGCAATGACTAAAGTTGATTGACACTGCTTTGAAGCATTCTACTAAAGCTATGAATACAGAGTTGTTTTGGCCAAGAATGTGGCACATGTTATTTAATGTAATATGTGCTGTGAGTTTCTGAAACAATGAAATGCACTCCAAGCTACAATACATGATGTAAAATGACAATTAACCAAAACCTTGCACACATTCTCTTACATGTTCAATGGTTTTACGACGTGTTCAACAGAAATATTGACATTCAAAAACAATCTATTCTGTTAATCTGTTTGATACAAGCTAGAATACAAAAAGTAAATTTACAGATTTACCAACATCTCACATACATGTACAATCCCTTACACGATTAACTTCAAAAACATTAAGAAACAATCTGTATTGTAAAGTTTTTCTTGATCTGAAAATACAATAATGACACTAACAGAGGTGACAAGTTTAGCTGGTCAGGGTTGTGAAAATGGTATGATAGAGATGTCACAATTAGAAGTGCCATTTCAGTGTCAAAGTTCACCTAGTTCACAGTGTCAAAGTTCACCTAGTTCACAGTGTCAAAGTTCACATTGCTCGCAGTGTCAAAGTTCACATATGTAGGTTACAGGAAGACAACTCTAATGAAAAGATGTAATGACATTACACTATTTACTATAGAAAATACAAAGGTTCAACTGTATGATGGTTTCAGCTTTTGAACTTGTGTATACCAAACATATCTCAAAACATCGGACTGAATTAGATCTACAAGACCAGTTGAGAGCTTTGAGGGAAAGTTTCAGTGGACCACAATTATAAGTTGAGATGAAATTTCAATATGTTAATATACTGTACCATATCTGTAAACATTAACAGCAGTCATAATATCTCAAAAAACAGGGAAGTACTTTGGACTTCAAATTTTTTAAAAGATTGTATTTTCTGAAGTATGTCTAAATTTACTTCTAATGAAATACAGAACACGGTAAATCCAGACCAATCCGATCTACTAAAATTAGAAGGTCATCAATTTTCTCTTAAAATATTACAATTTTGATATTTCAAGTTTCATTTTTCCAAACATGTTAGTATTTCAAACAATATAAGAAATTCAAATTTTCTACAGCTACATTTTATCCATGGAAATCCTGTTAAAACTGTATGAATTACTGTATAATTGGTCATTAGGTTGTAACTTGTGGTCCTGTGTATGGAATGAAAACTGAATCAGATCTAGCATATAGTTGTGGAATGTTCATTCACCGAGACCCAGCTAGATGTTAAATACATGTTATCCGAGGCTTTATAAAGTCTCATGTATTCAAATTTTGTATCTCTAATTCTCCGTAAATATAGACACTGAAACAAAAACATTCGCTTGTTAGGATTCAAAAGCATCGTCATCACAACACTGACAAAAAATATTAATATCTCTGTAAATCATATTGGAAAAAACCCCGAAAATATATGTATGAACAGTAAGTCAGAAGTGAGATTGAATACACATACATTTGTACCTGGTAGTACCAATTTACTACAAACAACTAATTCTTATGACAATGTAATTTCCACTGTTTCTGTGACATTGAATGATTTCCATACACTATTATTAAATAAATGTATGGACAGTAAGTCAGAAGTGAGATTGAATACACATACCTTGTAGTACCAATTTACTACAAACAACTAATTCTTATGACAATGTAATGAATAACCAGGATAATTTCCATACACTATTATCAAAGTTTTAATTTATACACAAACAATGTACTTATTAAACGGGTCGCAAGGTTTCAAGACCACCTGGTCCCTTTGTCAGGCTACATTGGTTGTGTATTTCTAAACCGATGACTCATATTGAACATTTCCATACATATTGTTATTGAACATCATCGTACCCCAATCACCACTATTTTCTACTAAGTAAAAGTAATACTGACCACATATAAAAAACAATGACTTCACAATGTATAACAAACTCATAAAATATAAATACAACATTGATGTAATTTACCATACCCAGCACTGTAGACAATGGTTACTGACAACCAAATCAATGATAAACGCCTCGAAAACCTTGATTACCTCCCCTGATTATTGGTTATTTCCCCTTATCTCAAATCTGTTACATCAAACCAGATTTAACAACTTAAGGTCTCTCCTTTTATCTGTCAAAGATTTTACCTGGCCTCCTATACGAGGCTATTACTTGTGAACAGAGACCTAAAGTAATTTAGGTCTATGTTGTGAACTATTAGTAACTCTGCAATATATAACATGTGTATGCCCCTTTACTGGCTAATACTTAGGTAAATACTGGAAGCACACCCACAAAACGAGACACAAAATATGATATTTTACTCAAACATGAAATTAAAGAAAGAAATTCACCAACTTGAAGTAAAATATCACTAAGATAACCATTCCCTATACATTATGCCACTGATGAAGTGACAACTTTTTCCCCATTTTTACAAGATAATATTATTTAAAACAGGAGCACAGTGTTAAGTTATTGCAAAAAATCCTTACACCAAGGAGAGCACCTCTTGTAACAGGGAAGCACTGTGTTTGAAAGTTGCTGACAAGAACAAATTGCTTTGCAACAGACCAATCCAACAGTCTCAGTAGAATATATCACATGTGCATTTAAAACAGATTAATAGAGGACAACAACCATTGAAAACAAAGTGTGACTACAACAACCATAGTCTGTTGTTGTTGTTGTTGTTGTTACAATTTCAAACCACAAACAAACAGTATCTCATGACTGCCATGTGGATGCATGTTACCTTATGTCAGAGATTTTGTGTTAGAGTTACCTCCATTATATCAGAGATTTGTGTTAGAGTTATCTCCCTTATTTCACAGATTTCGTGTTAGAGTTATCTCCCTTTTATTTTTTATTTACTAGAATTCCCATTCAGAATTACCCAAAGGTTATCAATGCATGAGTTAAATACTGTCTACATTTCAAACATCTTAATTCACAACATCCAAATTTCCACTCATTATACAAGATATTTCGTGATCTTCTCAGCCTGAAACTCTTTTTCAAAGAAGATAGAATTTAGTGAGGTAACATATATCTTGAAGTTAACTTCTACAACAAAATAATGGAAATATCTAAGTCATCTCTATGTAATTTTTTAATGAGCCATGACTAGCAATGATTAGGATGATCATGATATGTTTTTTAAGCATCAATCAAAAAAAGTTTACAAATGTAAAGCCGCAATAAACTACTCGTAATGTATCACGTTATCCACAATCAGTATCAATATCAATTTATCAATATCATTACATGTATCTCAATTGAGCATCTGAGCTAAGAATGTAATGGTGGTGAGGAAATTGCCATGGATTTCTGTAAAACTGAGAATTACCCAGGGACACTTGACTTATTAGACATGTGACCTCAGTAGCTAGTCCCCCCACCTGTTCCAGGTGAAGGGCTTTGCATGCCAGGGTTACAAAGGTTGAAGAAGACTTCCAAGACTCTGATAAAATGCTACTGACATCATAGGTCATGATTAGTTTACACCTGGCCAGACTGTCCTGCTTTGGAAAACCACAGGACAGGTTGAAATATTTAAAACACGAGTCTTCATGTTGTGATCAAGAGTTAAACTCTACTGTATACCGGGGAATGTTCACTGCTGTTTAACTTTCACCTTTTTCACCTCTCCCTAATGAGAGAGCGCACCTTAGTTAACAACATCTTAGACATAGTCATTTTAAAGTGTGAAGGGTGAAAGATTGATTGGACGAAAACGTCCAGGTATACAGTAGCTCCTGATTATCTACACATAAAGGGGAACTTAGATTACAGCAAAGAACCATTATAACAGTCAATGTTAGGTGATTAAAAGTAAAAAATTAAAACAAAATCCGTGAGATACAGTCCACAACTGAACTGCCAATAAAATATGAACATCTCAAACACACTGGCTGACTAGAAATAATTTACCCAAAAATAATTAGGGCTATTCCATAATGAACCATAGGGGAGGGCGGAGGCACCTGTATTAATGTATTAGAGGTGGTGGGGTCTCCGATAAAGTACCTCCCAGCCCATCCCCATGGTTAATTCTGGAACAGCCCTAACCATCACCATACACACCAGTCGAGTAGTTATGTAGAAAACACAGCGGATTAGTCGCACATCTACAACAAAGCTATAACATTTGGTTAAACTAACTTCAGTGAATGCATGTTGTGCTTTAAAACAGGTGTCCAGACAATTATTACTTATAGCATGATTGTTATATTACTTATATTACTATATTTTCTACAAGATGAAGACTTGACACAACAATGATCATCAACATACATGTCAACTATAACCTTCTTAGAGAGGAAGAGTCCCTCCGAACCCCAATATTTACTTTTTGTTCCCTCTGAAAGCATAGGGCCCAGTTTGGTCCCAAATCTTATAATTCTAACCAGATTGTGTCTCTCTTAGGAGGCAGTAGTCTCTCTTAGAAGACAATGCCTACTATTCAAATAATACTACATAATCTGGGAGTTTGCTTCGACAGACAAATCCCTCTAAGGAGGGTCCAGATGTTGACAAGTATATATGAGACTACTCTGAACCAAAGTCAAGCAAAACATCAGTACAACATAATTTGGAGTTGATTACCATTGACTCAGAGGTCAAAAAGATCAAACAACACTGACCCAGAGGTCAAATAGACCTAACAACACTGACTCAGAGGTCAAATAGATCTAACAACACTGACTCAGGGGTCAAATAGATCTAACAACACTGAATCAGGGGTCAAATAGATCTAACAACACTGACTAAGAGGTCAAATAGATCTAACAACACTGAGGTCAAATAGATAATAAAAAAAACCCACTGGTTTAGAGGTCAAATAGATAAAACAAAACACTGTNTCGACCCAGTCCAGTTCTGCTCCACTCCTCCCTCCACTATTGACAATCGACCCAGTCCAGTTCTGCTCCACTCCTCCCTCCACTATTGACAATCGACCCAGTCCAGTTCTGCTCCACTCCTCCCTCCACTATTGACAATCGACCCAGTCCAGTTCTGCTCCACTCCTCCCTCCACTATTGACAATCGACCCAGTCCAGTTCTGCTCCACTCCTCCCTCCACTATTGACAATCGACCCAGTCCAGTTCTGCTCCACTCCTCCCTCCACTATTGACAATCGACCCAGTCCAGTTCTGCTCCACTCCTCCCTCCACTATTGACAATCGACCCAGTCCAGTTCTGCTCCACTCCTCCCTCCACTATTGACAATCGACCCAGTCCAGTTCTGCTCCACTCCTCCCTCCACTATTGACAATCGACCCAGTCCAGTTCTGCTCCACTCCTCCCTCCACTATTGACAATCGACCCAGTCCAGTTCTGCTCCACTCCTCCCTCCACTATTGACAATCGACCCAGTCCAGTTCTGCTCCACTCCTCCCCCCACTATTGACAATCGACCCAGTCCAGTTCTGCTCCACTCCTCCCCCCACTATTGACAATCGACCCAGTCCAGTTCTGCTCCACTCCTCCCTCCACTATTGACAATCGACCCAGTCCAGTTCTGCTCCACTCCTCCCTCCACTATTGACAATCGACCCAGTCCAGTTCTGCTCCACTCCTCCCTCCACTATTGACAATCGACCCAGTCCAGTTCTGCTCCACTCCTCCCTCCACTATTGACAATCGACCCAGTCCAGTTCTGCTCCACTCCTCCCTCCACTATTGACAATCGACCCAGTCCAGTTCTGCTCCACTCCTCCCTCCACTATTGACAATCGACCCAGTCCAGTTCTGCTCCACTCCTCCCTCCACTATTGACAATCGACCCAGTCCAGTTCTGCTCCACTCCTCCCTCCACTATTGACAATCGACCCAGTCCAGTTCTGCTCCACTCCTCCCTCCACTATTGACAATCGACCCAGTCCAGTTCTGCTCCACTCCTCCCTCCACTATTGACAATCGACCCAGTCCAGTTCTGCTCCACTCCTCCCTCCACTATTGACAATCGACCCAGTCCAGTTCTGCTCCACTCCTCCCCCCACTATTGACAATCGACCCAGTCCAGTTCTGCTCCACTCCTCCCCCCACTATTGACAATCGACCCAGTCCAGTTCTGCTCCACTCCTCCCCCCACTATTGACAATCGACCCAGTCCAGTTCTGCTCCACTCCTCCCCCCACTATTGACAATCGACCCAGTCCAGTTCTGCTCCACTCCTCCCCCCACTATTGACAATCGACCCAGTCCAGTTCTGCTCCACTCCTCCCCCCACTATTGACAATCGACCCAGTCCAGTTCTGCTCCACTCCTCCCTCCACTATTGACAATCGACCCAGTCCAGTTCTGCTCCACTCCTCCCCTCACTATTGACAGGCAGGTTCGGGTTTCGCCTCGCCAAGCATACACACAGTACTTGAAACAAGGGTGTTCATGGCACCACAGTAACAGGAGATGAAAAATATGTGGCCAGACCGGAAATCAAAAATGAGACCTCTGAACTCCAATGAATGCTCTGACAAACTGAATTACCTGGTCGCCGTGATGGACCCCGTCCAGTTGCGCTCTAAGTGTAATTGGTCCATATAATGTGTAATCAGTACACATGGTATTCATACAAAACTAAATTGGCAAAAACAGATTATTAAATAAACTAAAAATGAAATCTTCCTGTTTGATCCAGTATCTACATGCATATTGACTTAATGGTATTTCACAGTATTTAGTGGAAATGATATTCATGTCAGAAAATGAAACCATGAAAGAATTGTCTTTTCTATATCAACAAAATATCTGAGTATTCTTACATGACATTGGGTACAAACAAGCTGCTATATGTATATACACACACATAATTGACCCAGGGGTCAAATATAGCTAACAACACTGACCCAGGGGTCAAATAGATATAACACTGACCTAGAGGTCGTATGGATCTGACAACATTGACCCAGGGGTCAAATAGATCTAACAACACTGACCTAGAGGTTGTATGGATCCGACAACATTGACCCAGAGGACAAATAGACCTGAATAAAGTGACATTGTGTATAAAACTGCTTATATATAAACATAATTCATATATATATATAAAAAAAGAATTAGAGCCAACGTCAGTCCAAAAGTAGTCATACATACATATATATATATATACTGCCTAGTCATTCATGTTACGTCATGTTCCCATTATATTCCATGTTAGTTTACATTTTCAGACAAAAAATAATGTAATTTTGTTTGTCATCTTGATAAACTTGACATCCTGTTAGAGAGTAATCCAGTATTTCTTTTGGTAATATTTATGTTATTTTCTGTGGCTCCGTTACTCAGATATAACTTTTCATCCCAGCAGAACAATTATATTTTGACATCATTACCAAAACACTATATTAAATTTTGTCAGCAAAACTGTTTCTGGCAATGACCTCCTCATGGTTAGAATTCTATGAAATGGAAAATTACAGATAATCACACAGTGTTTTCAGGGTTTGCCGTTCAATTTTTCTTGACCTCACAAGTGGATAAAATCTCAAGTCCAACACGCAGATGAGAAAATTGTTCAAACGATGAAAAAAAATGTGATCAATTGTTTATCATCTATACAACCTCTATGAATGTCTTCGATCACCGAGATCCTTGGTCAGTGACACAGTAAGCAAATACAAGATCTGCACGGAGGAATACCAGCATGACCTCAAAACTAGTCGAAACAATAGTCTTGCCATTGGCTTCTCCATATGGCCATTTAAGCATAGCATGGTGTTGTTATCCTCACAATATTGTTTTCATAATTTTATATTTTCTTAAGTTGAACACTATTGTGTGGATGCTATTTCTGATTCATGATGTCATCTTGCACAATGATAATTATTCTATTTTGAAAAAAAAATCCCTAACCAAATGGGAAAATCCATTCTTAAGTCAACTTCTTAAGAGTATTCATGCACATACTGTCAACCGTTGATAATGAATTGTGATGTTGGTCGGTGGTATAATGTAGTATGTATATAGATGATGGATTCATAGATGATAACTCTATCTACTAACAGTACCAATAGAAGTGCTAGATAATTCTCTAGCAGTGTGCCAAATATCATCATTTTTTTTTATTAAAATCAAACTCAGGAAAATTAATTTTCGAGAAGTGAATTTACATAGAATCAAATGAGAAAATGACGTAACATGGACGATATATCATTGCATCACTTTATATATATTTGTCTTTTAACGAAGAGCATAATTTAAAATGTTACATTACAAACATGAATAAAATTGTTGAACACAGTATTAAAATAAAAGTGAAGTATTTACATCTGGTTTCATTATGTAAAATGAACATACTGCATACCTAGAAATTTTCGCTTCAGTTTAATTTTCGCCCTTCATAATCAGACTGAATTTTTCATGACAACAAATATAAGTGAAAAGCATAGTATACATAATAATTAACTGTGAAGGGCGAAATTAAGACTGGGCAAAAACTGATTTCATTGGCAAAGGGTGAATGGGCAAAAATTCCCGTTAGACAGTATTTACTATAAATGAATTTTGAAGTAATGGAATATCATGATACATACATCTATGAACTGCAACATGTTCAGTCCACATGATGACTTCACAACCTTCAATGGATCGACTCAATCCTTTCCCCGACTTGGTATGATGATATGTACAAAGTCAATGGTACAAATTCAATCTCATGATTGAGGCATTCTGAATATAGATGCCATAAATAGATCATCAATGGACTGACAAAAGATGTTTTCACCAGACAATAAATTATTGCAGAGATAACTTTTGGCTATGAAAGCAGTTTATTAATTTTTCAAAACTATCAAGCTAGACTTCTCTGATAAATGACCTTAAAATATCTCATGCCATTTGTTGTGTTAATTTCATACTTTTTTCAGGATGCTGTTTTAAAATTGATCAGGTAGGGTGGCACAGTGGAAAGCACACTTGCCTTTCACCAAGGCGGCAAGGGTTCGACACCCTGATCGGCAGTGAAAAGGTATGGCCAGCCCCCCCCCCCTTGCTCGCTAACATTCTGGCCAACAAGAGTCATTAATATAATTTTATAGAACTTGTTTCATAATTGTTGTAAAATAAATAATTTGTATTTATAAATTGAAATTTTACAATAAGAAGCACTGTACAACACTGTATTTGACTTCCCATCTGTCCCCGCAGTTATCGCACCTTACAAACTCATACCCACTGGTTCATATGCATATACATTAAGCAATTTATTTTGCATTTCATTAGTTTGTACAAACCCATTATGTGTATTGATTAGTAAAATGACATACCTGCTGGCGACAAATTAAAAACTGTAGCGTTTAATAGGAAGTCAATACACACAGAGTTTTCTGTAAAAGGTGAACAAGTTAGACAAAGTGCACTAACCAGAGGATTAGATAATGATAAAATTCCATGTACAAACCCCAAGCTTTACACATGGAACCCCTTTTTGATATAGGCTGTGCTTGACAAGAAGGCTTGGTCACCCCAATATAATATCATCCAAGCATCCACAGCTGGTTTCATAAGGCTACCGCCAGGAGCTGATTTTATAAGACAACTGATCATTATTTCTGAAATTTGTTAAATTCGAGATTAACAGACATGATCTCAAAAATACTTTTGGCCTGTATTAATAATGCTCCTTAAAACTCACCTGAGAATTTACCCCTTACCATTGGCATCCAGCTGGAGGATCCCACACATATTAACACAATGACTAGCCATCTTAAAACAATTCGCCTTTCAAATCTTTCTTTGACCGACATTTTCTTTTTAGCCCCAAAAAATCTAGAACTCTATCATATTTGAGTGTAGAATCACGTTTGGTGGTTTTCGAGCAAATTTTTCGTATTACCTCACTCACCCATGAAGGCACATTTGAACTCTTCCAATGGAAAGGTTAGAATACAGAATAGTTCATTATGAAATTTCAGGGGTGAATGAGTTAATTTTATCCTGCAATAGCTGTACATGCGGAACTGTAACATATGATCACTATCTCCATTGACCGTTGGCTGGAATTTGCCATGTACTCATATCACTTGATCACAATATGGCCCAGCCATTGGCTAAGATATACTATGCCACTGACACAGGATGGTAATGTTGTACAGTTTTTAATCAACACCGCCATTGGTCTGCTGCTGTCTCTTCCTCAGGTTATAGGCATTAGCAGCAGTGCCGTTGCCGGTTCTTTGTATTTTCTTTGGTGTGGAGGAGTCTGGGGAGGCCTCAGAATCTGTGACAAAGAATCCGTCTTCCAGAGACTGTAAGTAAGTCAATCGTTTTAGTTGACACTGGTGTTTTTATATTTACTGTATACCAGAAATTGTCGCTACAGTTTAATTTTTGCCGTTTTTGCCCTTCCTAATGAGGGCGAATTCAGCATGACAGCAAATATAGGTTAACAGCACAATAAAGATATCAATTAAATGTGAGAGACGAAATTAACACTGGGCAAAATTGATTTCATGGATGAAGGGCGGAAATTTAACTGGGCGGAAATTTCTTTGTACACAGTAAAGATATTTGTTAGACACAGAAAAATGAAACAGATGAAGTTGATATACACCTTCAGATCAACATACAACGTAGTGTACATGTTACCTTGTGTTTATTTACTGCATAAACGTCACTGGGACACAAGTGAAAAAAACATTTCTTTTAAATCTCCCTTTATATGGCGTCAAACCTTCTTAAAATGCCAATATTTTACAGAGCATCTGATGGCAGTATAACACGTCTTTATACAATATTGTATTAGTTACACTGACAATATACCTGTATGTGCTCCAACTCGAGGGATCTAGGCACTCTGATTCATTTTAATATACATACGTACTGTACTAACAAATTTTGATAGATAAAAGTTATGCAGAAGACATGTTTTGTAATTTGCATGTTTTCTATATATGTAGTGTGTTGAAATTTGTACAGTGATTTAACCCTCATACTTACCGTCCACCTCCATTTCTTGGCATAAACAGCACACAGGTAAACACAGATGACACTCCCTATCAGCTGAAAAATACAGGTAAATATGTATAAACATTATACAGGTAACATACCAGGTATATATATATATAGTATACAGGTAAATACAGGTACAGTGTACAGGTTATTACAGGTAACATATATATATATAGTACACAGGTAAACACAGGTAACATATTTACAGCACACAGGTAAATACAGGTAACAGATTCATAGTATACAGGTAACATACACACAGGTTAATACAGGTAACAGATACATAGTATACAGGTAACATACACACAGGTAAATACAGGTAACAGATTCAAAGTATACAGGTAACATACACACAGGTAAATACAGGTAATAGATTCATAGTATACAGGTAACATACACACAGGTAAAGACAGGTAACAGATTCATAGAATACAGGTAACATACGCACAGGTAAATACAGGAAACAGATTCAAAGTATACAGGTAGCATACACACAGGTAAATAGAGGTAACAGATACATAGTATACAGGAAACATACACACAGGTAAATACAGGTAACAGATTCAAAGTATACAAATAACATAATTATACACAGTACTCAATAAAGTAAATACGGGTAACATACATACAGTACAGATTGCATCATTTATTGTTAATAAAGCAGTGTATCACATATACATGTTTATCACATATACCTACCTCGATACTCCAGGAGGTTACGCTCTAGATCTCTGCACACCTCTGGTAAAAAAATCCTGACCAATTGCTAGGCTGATACTTTTCCTTTGAAGATTACTGAGGAGTTACACCAGACTTTAAAGCCAGTCGATTTTACCGTTTCGCCACTGAGAGATCCTTTTGATTTACATCAAAGGATCAAACTAGTCCACAAGGTGACGCACCCTGAGCCTTCATATTTTATGACAGATATTATGCCAGGGCGCAGAGAGCGAAAGTGAGCGTAACCCCTGAAGTTCGGAGGGTACAGTTTTTTTATGTATATTTACCTGTACTAAAAACCAATACATCACATATAAAATATCTGTCTGCTTGAATAAATCAGTTCCAAATTTCAGACATACTATTGCCTCCGTCAGTGTGATGGCGCTGTAATAAACAAAAATCATTGTTTACAGATAACTAGCGATTACTAGAACACCAACAAAACCTTCGTATAACTCTTGTTTTATAAAAATAAATACTTTTCTCTTACAAAAATTAAATCAACACCAGAACCAATCATTACCCTTGACAGGTGTATCCGCACTTTAACCGATATAAGATATTCTTTTCTCTCATTTCCCTGTGTGTAAGATAGAACTGCCCAGGGTAAGAAAGGAGTGCAGGAAATTTCTATCTTACACCCCATTTCAGGTGAAATGACGTCACAATGGCTCAACAATGACGTGATGTCACTAATTTGGAACTCTCCAATGCCGAAAAGGCGACGTGGTGAAATTAAAACCTTTAACGATATATTTACCGTACACGTAAGAAAGATGTGATTCCTCGGGGAAAGATTCTTAAGTTGCCAAACAATCGGCAAAGACTCTTGTTTGGCAACTTAAGAATCTTCCACCTCGGGTTGAGATTCCCCTATAGCTATCTCACTCCCAAGGGGACGAGAGATTCTATTATACTCCCATTAGGTTGATACATATCAATCAGCACAAACCCAACATTTTTGTAAGTAAATTCAGTTGCCAATTGAAATTGAACATTTGCTGCAAAATCATCATGTCACACTATTACTGTAGCTGTGTAGTTCCGCGACATTTTAATCAGTATCTTAACCTATGAAATCAAAGCTTACAGGTGTTACACAATACAAACTGTGGTTTACATGTATACATTCATTACCAACCTGCCACATTGCCTGAGCATGAGAAAATGGGGTTGAGGAAACAAGTGGGTATTGGCTAGATATATATATACTTACCAGAACATCCAGCATTGTGTCCCGAGACGTTTACACTGGCGGTCTGTTACATACAGGTAGTACTGTCTGTAACACATCAAACATTATATTTACTGGTTAGTTTACACTGTCAGTCTGTTACATACAGGTAGTATTGCCTGTAACACATCAAACATTATATTTACTGGTTAGTTTACACTGGCGGTCTGTTACATACAGGTAGTATTGTCTGTAACACATCAAACATTATATTTACTGGTTAGTTTACACTGTCGGTCTGTTACATACAGGTAGTATTGTCTGTAACACATCAAACATTATATTTACTGGTTAGTTTACACTGTCGGTCTGTTACATACAGGTAGTATTGTCTGTAACACATCAAACATTATATTTACTGGTTAGTTTACACTGCCGGTCTGTTACATACAGGTAGTATTGTCTGTAACACATCAAACATTATATTTACTGGTTAGTTTACACTGCCGGTCTGTTACATACAGGTAGTATTGTCTGTAACACATCAAACATTATATTTACTGGTTAGTTTACACTGCCGGTCTGTTACATACAGGTAGTATTGTCTGTAACACATCAAACATTATATTTACTGGTTAGTTTACACTGCCGGTCTGTTACATACAGGTAGTATTGTCTGTAACACATCAAACATTATATTTACTGGTTAGTTTACACTGCCGGTCTGTTACATACAGGTAGTATTGTCTGTAACACATCAAACATTATATTTACTGGTTAGTTTACACTGCCGGTCTGTTACATACAGGTAGTATTGTCTGTAACACATCAAACATTATATTTACTGGTTAGTTTACACTGCCGGTCTGTTACATACAGGTAGTATTGTCTGTAACACATCAAACATTATATTTACTGGTTAGTTTACACTGCCGGTCTGTTACATACAGGTAGTATTGTCTGTAACACATCAAACATTATATTTACTGGTTAGTTTACACTGCCGGTCTGTTACATACAGGTAGTATTGTCTGTAACACATCAAACATTATATTTACTGGTTAGTTTACACTGCCGGTCTGTTACATACAGGTAGTATTGTCTGTAACACATCAAACATTATATTTACTGGTTAGTTTACACTGTCGGTCTGTTACATACAGGTAGTATTGTCTGTAACACATCAAACATTATATTTACTGGTTAGTTTACACTGCCGGTCTGTTACATACAGGTAGTATTGTCTGTAACACATCAAACATTATATTTACTGGTTAGTTTACACTGCCGGTCTGTTACATACAGGTAGTATTGTCTGTAACACATCAAACATTATATTTACTGGTTAGTTTACACTGCCGGTCTGTTACATACAGGTAGTATTGTCTGTAACACATCAAACATTATATTTACTGGTTAGTTTACACTGCCGGTCTGTTACATACAGGTAGTATTGTCTGTAACACATCAAACATTATATTTACTGGTTAGTTTACACTGCCGGTCTGTTACATACAGGTAGTATTGTCTGTAACACATCAAACATTATATTTACTGGTTAGTTTACACTGTCGGTCTGTTACATACAGGTAGTATGGTCTGTAACACATCAAACATTATTATCATTTGTGTGGATATTGTGTGGATATTGTGTGGATAGTGTGTGGATATTGTGTGGATATTGTGTGGATAGTGTGTGGATAGTGTGTGCATATTGTGTGGATAGTATGTTGATAGTGTGTGCATATTGTGTGGATAGTGTGTGCATATTGTGTGGATAGTGTGTGGATAGTGTGTGGATAGTGTGTGCATATGTTATAATGCTAATAATTATGTGCTGCTCACCAGTTATTAATGGGGTGTTTTTTTCAAACACAGATTTTTATACTATCTCTCTAACTGATTAAGTAATTACCTGGTCATTGGAGGTGTTCTGCCCAAAATTATCTACACTTATATCTTATAATAAAGCATCCTCGATATTCAGGGGTTACGCTCACTATCGCTCTCTACACCCCTGGAATATGTCATAGCAAAATTGAAGGCACAAAGATAGCTGTTTTGCTACAACATATTCCAGGGGTGCAGAGAGCGTAAGTGAATGTAAACGTAACCCCCTGGATATCGAAGATGATAATTAAGGGGAGTATACTGTATATAGGAAAAAACATAGTGCAGTGGGACCTTTAGGAGAAAAGGTTTTCACACATTTGACCCCTGTGATCAAGAAAGTGGGGGAAGGATATTTATTATGACAAACTTCCATTCCACAAGTTATAGAACAAATATCATTCATGGCTTTAAGGATCTTTAAAAACTGTTTGAAGAGATTAAAGTTTAATTATTCTGTCAAATATGATAGTCGTTCACACAAGCAAGCTGAAGGCATAAAATGAATACTCTATGAATCTTTAGAAGAACTCATTTAAAGATTTTTTTACCATACATGACCCTCGTGATCTCCAAGGTAAGTAAGGCAAAGTAATTTATTTTAACTTCTTGACAGTCCTTCACTCAAAGAAGCTACATCCCAAATATCATTACTCTCTGCAATATGAAACTTCATAAGTTTTTATAATAAGTTGTTAGCATTAAGTGCCTCTTCAATGTTTTAAGACATATATAAACATGCACAGGACTTACAAAAAAAACATAAACTTTATTTAGTTTACAACAATTATAAAACAAGTTATTTCAACTTGTTGGCCCGGATGTTAGTCTAAATGTGGGAGGAAACCGGAGTACCCAGAGGAAACCCATGTGGTCGGGCATACCTTTTCACGTCCGATCGGGGAATCAAACCCTGGCCGCCTTCGTGAAAGGCAAGTGTGCTATCCACTGCACCACCCGACCACCCAAATTTTGAGTACTATCACAAAGGGCCAACCTACAACTGAGCCTGAAAGTGCTCTATGGTGGACAGAAGACAAACATCTCTGAGACTTCCATGTTTGCACTAGAAATAACCACTCCACCAAACGAAATCTGTCCCTATAAAGATAAGGATATAAAATGAACTGTAGGGTCTGGTTATTAGACAACCCGGAACCTACCGTATAGTTGGTGCAGATATCAGACAAATAAGGAACAGTCTCCAAACATTTAGGTTGTGGTTCTGAGGAACCTCCATTATGTGCTTCAGGAAAAATGTGTTCAGCTCAGACAACTGTGAAAAGAGCAGAAACATCATGTAGTCATGTGTAAAATGACCCTGAAATGATCATAAACAGCTGTTGGGAGTATAACACCTTTCCAGGCACACAACATGTGGAATGTCATTTACATGGCTTCCTTTCTACTGAAACTGTAGGACTGACAGCATACAATGTATTACATAACCATATTAACACTTTAAAAATTCATTCACATACTTCATAAAACACGACAGTTGTAACATTTCAATTTTTTTAAACTTGAATTTTACTACATTGTATATATTTGAAATGATGGGCCCAACTTATGGTTGGTTGGTTGAAGGGTTTATCGTCTACACTCACTGACAAAGTCAGTGTTCGGTCGACATGAGGGGGTAAGTTGCCACTTACCAGGCCCTCAGAGATTCAAAATGTCCTGCCCATCCAGGTCACGCTCTGAGGTCGGACAGCTCCTCAGATGAGGATAGGCTGTCACAACGGCTGTGGTCCACGAAACGTCCTAAGTGTAATCCTCGCTGTCCTCCTATGGCCCAACTGACGGTACACCTAATTACTTATACATGTACTTACTTTTCGGACAACATTGAGGAGACACACCCCCGTCACTCATCAGTATTTATTTGTATGATAATGAGAACGTAACTATTTGACACGTCGGTACTTACTTGCCAGACAATAATGAGGAGACACACTTCTGCCACACGTCGATATGATGACATTGGGTCCAGCCATTTCACATCTGCCCAGCTTTAAACAAAAATAGAGCCACATTGAACCAAACCATTTTGAACATTTCTGTGAACGAAATTTTGAGCAATTAAGGATGCATGTGATCACTCTTTAATATGCACCTTTTTTTCAAAATAGCTCCACACCCATTTCAAATATCCCCATCTTTCTACTACATGTATTCCAGGTTTTTTTTTCTTTCTTATTGGAAAATTGAAATGACCAGCACAGTGGAATTTCTTGACATTAATGTTTACATCCTGCTCCAGAGATAATGAACACGAGCTTACCTTACAGGAGTAAACTGAAGCACTATTCTTCTCAGTTTTCCAGTTGTTGTGTGGATGTCTCTGTAAGATTAAAAAAACATTGAATTAAATGTATCACATACATAGATATAATACGTATTGATATCCAGAAAAGGTGACTGAAATATTTACACTGCACTAACTATAGCTCAGCTGCCCGATATGTTTGTCCTACATTAATAGGTCATTATATGGTCACAGTAACCTACTTAGGTATACAACACTCCTCGGCCTGTCAATGTATGTGTACCACCATGATCTCAATTTTTGGGGGTGAAAACGTAAAATCTAACAATGTTTATATGGGATGTCCTTACTAGGTCTAAACATATGTCACAGCGACCTAATTCTAGTATACAAAACCCTGACATCAAAAGATGTACTACCACAAATGTATAAAAAGTCTGATGATCTCACATGAAATACAGATAGCTTTTTTTCTGAAAAAAGGACCTAAAGGTCCTCTTCATCCGACTCAAATATTACATTGGTTCGGATTCCAATTGGAGCCTCTTAAATAACCTGCTGATTTGCCCATTGTCTGTCTAGCCAGTTTTCAAATGAGCTGATAGTTTTATCAGTCACCAGAGACTATGGATGATTGCTCCTAATATGCACTACTCTGAGTGTGATGGAAGTTTTCCTCATGATTGGATACAGTTTCCTGGAGACACCTCTTCCACTATATTGTGCCGTCTCATCTACCCACAGCTTAACAAATCAGCTTGCCTCCATGTCCTAGATCCCTTGCTTTATTCTAAATATCTTGATCATGTCTATTTATGTTGGTGATACGATCATGTTGGCAGTTTTAATTTTTTAGACATTTCAGATAACTGAGATGCTTGGACCTGATAATTGCTTCATGGCCCTTTGTTTTAACTCCTTTAATTCTTTCCACATACATGTATTAACGATTTGATTTTATACGGCAAGCAGAATGGAAGAGGTGTCTTGACTAGGCTCTTGTATAGTGGTATGAATGTATTGATGGCCATACTCTCCAGACAACGTTATGAGGGGAACAGGCAGATAAAGAGGCTACTAAATACTCCCATTAACCCTTTTACCACTGTAGACCATAATGGACTCATCCAGATCAATGCATGGTAGAGTCTACTAGAGTTACATAGGGTTGAAAGGGTTAAATGTTTCAAGGAGTATAAAATCTTTTATAATGGAAGTACAACTGAAAACTTTAAATTTATATGAAAATATGATTTGATTAACAAGCCAACCTCATGCCAAATTTTTTCTAAATTGGAATTTTCAAACTTTAATTTTTGCACTTACCAGGGTAATACAAAATGTACTTCCCCTGTCAAAGTTTTTCTTTCCATAATTTCTTAACAATAAATTTACCTACTTCATATACTTGATACTTTCCCAGTGGTAGAATTTTCTAAAACTAAAGTAACTCACTTAATACTTTCCAAGAGGTAGTTTTTCATTCTATAGTTTCTTACACGAAATTTACTTACTTGATACTTTCCCAGTGGTAGTTTCTCATCTCCAGTTTTTTACACAGGAACATGCCAAACCAGATACCCAGACCGTTACACACTAATACATCTAGCACCCAGGCATCCCACCAACACTCGGCAAAGTTTGGCAGCAGGTGACAAAACGCCATCTACAAACAATATTTTTATTATTACCTCATGTATATAAATATATTCTTAAAAGCTACGTTCAGATTGATAAAAAAAGGTGTTTTTCAAAACAGATCTCTAAAATTAGAAAAGCCATGTTTTATAATACTGAATAAAATACTGATTTTATACACCAGCATAAAGGTGAACCATTAACCTAATAAATTGTTAACAGAATTTAAAGAGAAACATTAAAGGTAATTTTTCACTAATTGCAACTCTAATTGAAATTGCGATTTACTCAAATTAAATAACACATTAAACAGGGGGAATAACTCTGGTATTAACACTGGCAATAACTCAAAAAAGGCATATCTCTGGTTCAAACAGGGGGAATAACTCTGGTTATAACTTTCTTCAGATGGGGAATAACTCTGTTATCAACACTGGAATAACTCAAACAAGGCATATCTCTGGTTCAAACAGGGGGAACACCTCTGGTTCAAACAGGGAGGTAACTCTGGTCATCACTCCTTAGACAGGGGGAATAACTCTGGTTCAAACAGGGGGAATAAATCTGGTTCAAACAGGGTGGTAATTCTTAGACGGGGAATATCTGAGGCAAAGAAAATCGGTAGAATTCTAGTTCAAACAAGGAATAACTGTTGATTCTAACAGGGGGAATAACTTTTGTTCAAAAAAGAAATATTTCTTGATTCTAACAAGGGGAATAAAACTGGTTCAAACAAGGGGTATAACTCTGGTTCAGATATGATTAACATGCAGTTTATACCTCTGTGATTTCCCACATGATGCTAATGGTCCAGAGAATGCCATAATGGCGGATGAGGACAGCCTTGGTTATCCAGCCCAGGAAATGGGCTGTGGCAAAACAGTCGAGATGTGACACTATTCGTGGCAGGTCTATCTCTGAGCAGTTTGCTGCATATTCCTGAAAATAAATGATAAAATTAGGATTAAGACCAAGTGGTTTTGGATTAAAACCTAGTACCCCGGTAACCCTGAAAGTATAATTTCCTTTTAATTATCTGGTAAGTCAAAATGGTTTAGAATATATTTGGTACAAAGTGTACACATATATGTCCCTATAGTTTGTATCTTTGTTTTTCACATTTGTTTTAATTATGTGGCAAGTTATAATGGTTTTAATTACCATACTGCAAGTTTAAGTCAAAATATATTTGATAACCTGGCAATGTTTTTGATTACCTAACTTGTTTTTTGAAAACTTTGTGACAAAAAAAATATGATATATAAAAGATATTAGCATTAATCATGCATACAAATTCCTAATACATATATCACCACTTGTTTTTTTCAGTTCATTTATTGATTTATTTAATCATTGAAAAAATAATAAAGTAATTTCTTAAAATCTTTGTTCGAAGCCTTGGACCCATAATTAGAGTTATACAGGACAATAGGGTAGGACAGAAGACATTTTATCAGGATTTTATTGATTAATGATACATTCTATAAAGGTAATTAATATAAATGATTTTTTCATAATTGCTAAAACTAAAAACAAAATATTTTGGATTTTGAATGACTTTGAAAAATTTATACACAACACTCATATTACTGAACCATCTTTTCAGAAAATATAGTTGGAAAACTTGACTTTGTGTCACATATCGCTATTGACAGCAGAAACACCTTGATCGTGTCCGTACCTTTTCCTCCACTTTGATACCTTCAAGGTCTGGATACAACCATTCCAGTATTCTTCGGAAATCTTTTCGGGTTTGAAACAGCACAAACACCAGGAAGATGAAGTAAAACACACTCATCCCTGTCAATAACAAACAAAAGAGTTTTTTATACAAAAATCTGATAATGATGATCATTCTATTTACCCAATTAGCCAGTGCACTTACTGTATACCGGTAAGTTTTCACTGCAGTTTGATTTCCCCCATTATCACCATCAGTAATGAAGGAGAATTTATCATTAATTTACAGCAAATATAAGTAAACAGCATAATTTACGTAGTAATTCAATGTGGAAGCCAAACTAACACTCAGCAAAATTTGATTTCATGGGCGAAGGCGAAGGAAAAAGGTTTAACTGGACTAAAATTTCCTGGTATACAGTAATTTTTCCTGAGAAAGTGGAAGTATTTATAGAAATCATTTGTGACCTTAGTGTAGCATCTTCATACAATGGCGGATCCAGAGATCTATCTGAGTGGGTTTCTAAAGTTCCAGGGGGGTTTCCATGTGGGGAAAATTGAGTAAAATGGTGAAATGTACATGATTTTTAAAGAAAATTCTCAGGTTAAGGAGGAATCTTGAAGCCCAAAATTAACTTCTGGATCCACAACTGTTCTACAGTGATGGTATCATTAACGGTTGACAAGAAACCAACCAACAATAAAAACAAGAACTAGAAGAACTAGCAAAGACTTTATTTGTGCAGTAAAACATTTTTTGATGCAATATTCTTTACTGGTAAAGTTGAATGTAATTGCTTTGCTGATTTTCTCTCCTACCTTTTGCTGTACCTTTTCTACACAGTGACATTTGAGTCACGGATTCATAACCAGAAAATTAAATTATAACAAGTCCTTCTGAACATGATACTTGAAACACATATATATGTAGAAGTTGATGTATGTGAATTCGAAGAAAAAAGTACATGTAGACGTCCATGTACATTTGTACCAAACATCCTCCTCCAGACAGCATGGTGGGGCCGTGTGACGACTTACCAATCACCATTCTCCATATAGCAGTTAGGGTGGGGGTCACTTAAATGGGCCAATAGCCAATGCAGACAAAAACTTACCAAACACCATTCTCCAGATAGCAGGATGGGGTCGTGTGAATGGGCCATTAGGAAAAGCGAGGACACTGATGACCAGGAAAAAGAACACAACAGCACAAAACCCTGTCCAGATGTTGTCATCCTGTACATCATCATTTCTACAACACAACAAGTGAGAAACATTGTCATTGTCGTGTTTAACATCTGTCAAGCTCTTCTGAAGAAGTACTATATTTTTATTTTGCTATTTTAGGAATGAGCTTAGGATTAATTTGAAACAAATGCATCATTTGAGTCCATAGTAGTCATTTTGCTCAACATCATCTTTATTTCATTTTATTTGTTTTTGGCTATACCATTAAATGTTTGCAGCAGGCTCATAGTAAGCTTGATGGTAAATTGACAACAATGAAGTTAGTTTGTCTGACAGTTACAGCTGTTTTTCAAAGTATAGTGGCACCTAACTTTCTGTCAAACAGTTCAAAGGCCAATTTTTTTTTATGTTTCAGGTAAAATGACTGAACACAAGAATTCCAGAGGAGTGGATGTGTCACCTTCAGTCAGTGTGAAGTTTTGAGGTTGATCGACCCAAGGAAACTGGACTTATCGCATGGAAATAGTTTTCTATTTATAGTAATGGCGACATTGACCTTTTACCTTCGGACCTAAAAAGCAATCCCATGCAGAACAAGCAGTATCGGTAAGAAAGAACTGTATGAAGTCTGAGTTCAATCAACCTAAAGAAACTCAAGTTATTGCACGGAAACAGAATTTTTATTTATAGTAATGATGACCTTGACCTTTGACCTTCGGACCTGAAAAGCAATCCCAATGCAAGCAAGGCAAGCACTATTGGTAAGAAAGAACTGTATGAAGTCTGAGTTCAATCAACCTAAAGAAACTCAAGTTATTGCACAGAAACAGATTTTCTATTTATAGTAACGGTGACCTTGACCTTCAGACCTGAAAAGCAATCCCAAGCATGCATTTTTAGTAAGGCAGCACTGTATGAAGTTTGAGTACAATCAACCCAAGGGAACTCAAGTTATCGCACGGAAACCTCGTTTCGGACGACGCAAACAAACCTATTTGTCGCCTCGTGTTGCAGGCGACACAAAAAGGGGAAATCGGTGTTATTTATTTTCATTTCGTTTTGCTTTTTGAGGGGTTCGGCTAATTCAAGAAACAAGAGGCCCATGGGCCTTAACGGTCACCTGAGTCTACAGTATTTATTTTTGTTGTTGAAATATGTACCAATTTGAGTAAAAAATAGTATAATGTTAACTTAACTTTGTCAGGACCATGAGCTGATCATTCCTAGACCAATTTTAAGTGAGATCGGCCTATTAGAACTTAGTAGCAAAATAGCGGCCATGGCAGCCAAATTGTATTTCTGATTGACCCGAAAAATAACAACACTTTGTCAGGACCATGATTCGATCATTCCTACAAAGTTTCAGTTCAATCGGCCAAGTAGATCTTTACTTTAAGTTTGAAATAGTTTACCAAAATGGCAGCCGTGGTGGCCATATTGGATTTCTGATCGACCCGAAAAATAACAACACTTTGTCAGGACCATGAGTCAATCATTCCTACAAAGTTTCAGTTCAATCGGCCTAGCAGAACTTGACTTTAAGTTTGAAATATGTTTTCAAAATGGTGGCCGTGGCGGCCATATTGGATTTATGATTGACCTGAAAAATAACAACACTTTGTCAGGACCATGAGTCGATCATTCCTACAAACTTTAAGTTCAATCGGTCCAGCAGAACTTGACTTTAAGTTTGAAATAGGTTTTCAAAATGGCGGCCGTGGCGGCCATATTGGATTTCTGATCGACCCGAAAAATAACAACACTTTGTCAGGACCATGAGGCGATCATTCCTACCAACTTTCAGTTCAATCGGTCCAGCAGAACTTGACTTTAAGTTTGAAATAGGTTTTCAAAATGGCGGCCGTGGCGGCCATATTGGATTTCTGATCGACCCGAAAAATAACAACACTTTGTCAGGACCATGAGGCGATCATTCCTACCAACTTTCAGTTCAATCGGCCCAGCAGAACTTGACTTTAAGTTTGAAATGTAAAATGTTAACGGACGACGGACGACGGACGACGGACGACGACGGACGAAAACGGATAGCAATAGGTCACTTGAGCTAAAGCTCAGGTGACCTAATTACAAAAATCAACAAACATATTTTTAGGTCTTTCAAATAATAATATGGGATTTAGATTTGGTTTTGATACCTGCCTAATGCCTATGAAGTAAAGAGGGTATACATATGTATATACAGTTGCCTAATTATTTGGTCATCCATCTATTTGTCTGGTGGACAACTTATATTTATCCCAACACTTGATGGTTTTTGATTCAGTGAGATAAAATTGTTGGAGTCAGAGGTAAAGACTAAGGTCGGTCAGGGTACCTGAAACATACCCTTTTTCCCCCTAAGCTATTGCATATCGATACTTGCAGAAGACACAACTCTTTGTTCAAATGTTGGCATATTGTAGCATAGTTTGTACTTCAGCTTAATTTCATGTAAAATGTTAACATTGAGATTAACAAGACAAATATTTCCTCAGCATAACATGTCGCTTTGAAAATATCTTAGCAGCCCATCCCATGGCCATGGTTCAGCAGATTGCGGATCTATACTTAATGAATAATTCAAGCGATCAAACTCTCAGTTAAATTAAAGATAAACAGATTAAATAAAACACAAAAACACACATAGTGTGATGTTCTAAATTAAAGGAGAAAGTCTGAATAAGACTAATTCAAGATTTTTCAATACCTTGTGGTGTCATGATTTTGCAACATGCTCACATACTCTTCTTTTATATATATATGTACAAGTGCTACATTGTATATGCAATTATGCAATATAACATCTGATTAAGAGGAATCAGTTGAAGCTTAAATTTTGTGACTGATTAATATTTCCTTAAATAGCCATGATGTATCACAGATGTGGCAAAGCTGCCAGAGGTTTGCAGCAAAGTTGTTGGAAGGTTGAATTGCCACAAAGTTGCCAGAAATATGCCAAAAAAGTTTCAGAACAGTTCTTCAGAAAAAGAAAAAAAAATTATGCTTATAATTATAAAAAAAAATCAGAACTGTTTGTCAGAAAAAACAAAATTTGCATACAAAATACAATTATGCTTATAATTATAACACGCTTGTGGCAATTTGGTTGGCAGAAGCCTGTTATTTATGTATTTTACCTGTTGGGATAATTTTATCATGAGCAACTTTCTTTATATTTGAAGTAATATATAATAATGATGTATTTCAAAGATATATAAGTCAGTTCATGAGACCAATTTTCAAAGCCACTGGTAATTATATATTTGTATATATATACACTGTCTTTGTTTTAATAACTATTAGAACTGTAGCATTAATTATCATAATTTCAACTGTAAGTTTGATTTCGGTTTTTTTTAAACTAGGGTTTGGTCAGGTCTTATCTTAGTAATCAGAGATTTACATTGAGACCTGTTGTCAATGCAGTAATTTTTGTTCATTTTTTTTTAGGAAAGCCCAGAACCTCATTTCAAAATGTTGATGGGTGCCATTATTAAGAATTATATATAGTGCGTTTTCAAAATGTGGGCATGTCCACAGGAAAGTATGACACCAATGACTAATTAAGACTCTCTCAAGTCCCAAAAATCATGGGACTCCATATATATATAAGTTACTTTCACTTTACATTTTTACTTTGATTTATGATACGGCTTTTGCAAAAGTTGCTGATATTTCTTTTATATTATATTTCATGTAAAAATTGACTTGGTTTACTTTCCAATTGTGTAATGTGTCATATGTAACAATCCCGTGTCAAAGTACAGTACATTACATTGGTTGTAATTGATATACTACTGTATAATATTGGAAGTAATTTTCAAATTGCAATATATGTGAAATATTGCAATACATAATGTATATAAGTCGCAATATATCATAATCCTAGAAATTTTGTGTATTTCTAAACAATTTTCTATAGAAAATACGAAAAAATTAGCAACCTTACCCTCAATGATGAATTGAAAAAAAAATCAGATTCTTTTAAATGTCACCAAACCAAGAAAGTGAAATTTGGATAAAATTATATAATGAATTCAATCTAACATCATTTCTGTAAGAAACATTTCATAACTGCATCTATAACCGAAAACTAGTCGAAAATTATTACATCAACTTGTATAATATGCCTAAAACATGCAATAGTGAATACCCTATTTTCTGTTGTTTTAGTCTAACTGGAACATATACAGTGCATGTTATAATATAACATCTGCTGTACATGTGTAGAATGCCATACAGCATTCACACACTTTCTCCGACCTTTGAATTTCTGAAAGATGATAGTGAGGGAACTTGGAATCTTTCCAGAACATCCAAAGACTTAATTATTGGCTGTATGGTATGATGTTGTTCTTAATATCACTTAATGGTCTTAGAGATTGCGGAGAAGGATTATATTCCAGAAAAAAGGTAGCCAAAGGAGGCAATTTAATTTACACTTATTAGACAATTCCTAGTTTAAAAGTATAGTTAAGTTGTATGTCCAGCATGCAGAAGCTTCTAAATCATGACAGAAAAGTGGCTACATGGTTACAGGGTAGGTTTACCCAGTGACAAAATAGCCATGATCAGCAATACATAAGTCTCAGATAATAGTTTCTTTGTGTGCTGAAATTAAACAGATCTACAAACAGAAGCTTTAAGAGGTCAAGCTTTAAGCAATACATACTAAATATAATCTGACTGACCCAATACATGTGTTCCTACTCTTAAGTATTATTGTACTGTAACTTTAAGAATTATTAAGGCACTTTAATCTAAAAATAGCATACTTTATGTACGACGTAATATGATAATGACATGTCATCATGCCCGATACATATCATATTTATTTTTTTAAATAGGGTGGAAATATATGTCTACATATATATGACTAATGTCTGAGAGTCCTTTTACAAACAAAAAATGTTTCCCTCGTCTTTTACTCGCTTTCTGCTAAAATGTTAATGAGATTTTTTTTTATTTTCTTTCTACTGCAATTAATTGACATTTCTCATGATGATCAGCTGACAAGTCTAAAACATTCCCTCCTGCAGATTTAGATAATTCCAGAAGTTTAAAATGTCTCAAGTCAATGTACCAATGACTACAACTAATAAGTACGGCTTGTACTATTCAAAGGTCTGCGTAAATCACGCTTGTTTTTTTTAGTGTCACGCGTGTCATAAATGATTTTCCCACCGGCTTAATTATGTCAATTTATGAATGAGGTCGTGAATGTAATTTTCTCACTGTTGTTTCACGCCAAACAAATCTACTAAAACAATTGTTTACTTTGCACAAATAACCTTCATACACACACATACACTTAAGACCGGTAATCTACACGTGTTTTAAACGACCTATTTTTGTTACAGACAACATCGTCTTTTTTACAAGCAGCCGACAACGCCTTAAACACCTTACCGTGTGAACGCAGCATAGAGTAATCCGAGGACAGACACAGTCAGTAGAGTTACGGTGTGGGGTTTATAGAACACACCCAAAGATATATCATCTACAGCTTTTTCGTTTATAAATCTAAAATGCTCCACCTCTTCGGCGTGAAGTTCTCGATGATCGGTCGACATGGTGGCCATGCCCATTAGATAATCTAAGAGTTCCAACAAGGGACGTTACTCTGATCTCAAGATGCGGTTGCAGTGTAATTATATTAGGAGACACAACTTAAAAGCATCACAGACTTCCTTTAAATTAGATAATAAACCATCGTTTTTAATAGAGACATATATTATTTATCTATGAAAAAATAGAAAGTTCAGTTAGTAATTTTGACAACTGCTTGGTTTTTCATATATTTTCAAATTATTTCACCTAAGTAGAATCTAGTCTACTGGGTATACCTAACAACAGACTTAGACATTTTGACATATATATGTCAAAATGTCTAAGTCTAATGTTAGAGCCAGAGGAAACTCGGGCTAGGTATTCATTTGGCAATAAATCAATTAAAGGCTGATATCTTTAATCAGGTATACTTGCAACGTATAAACCAGTAGTTGTAATATAACGCGCGATTATATCTACCACACATACATTGTATAAAGGCGGCAACAAGGCTGGATTGATGACAACACCCCATATTATGTGCAGAACCTTATTATGCTAATTGTTAAATATTACATTTACAAACAACGTATGAAAGGTGATACACTTTTCATAGAAAGTGTAAAGAGAGATATAGTGTACAATTATAAAGTGGAAAAATATATCGCAACATGTAAAGGGAAACAAAATACCTTTCTCCAAAAATGGAGACTCTTTTCTAACTTAATGATACCATAGCCTATCTACCAAATATTATGTATTATTCATATATGCACCTATAACTTGTACCTAATTCGATTGCCGCCCGAGATGTGTATTAACCAATTTGGAATAATCCATTCCAACTCCAGACCGCTACGGTCACAAATACACAGGTACTACATGTGTAATGCACCTCTCGGAGGGGAATTCGAAAGTTATACTTAAATATCCAAATTACTAGAGAAAGATTGTATGCAAGTTGTGTTTTTTCATTTGTAAAATAACATGTGAAAAAAAAAAAATGTTGAAAAAAATGTTGAAAAAAAAGCCTGGATTGATGACAACACCACTTAAGTTTTTGGGTTTAGTGTCTTCCCTGTTGATTGTAGCTTTCAATCAACCCGAGAGAATAAAGTTTTGCTAAATATGAATGATAAAGTGATCTGAAATTTGAGAGCTCCGGTTTTGTACTGGGAGACATCACCACAGCTATCTGCATTAGTAACACATTTGATAATGGCAANCCACCACCACCACCACAAACACACACATACTCGGAGCAGATTGATATAACGGGAAGTATTAAATAAGAATATACTAATCATATTCGAGTTAGATGAATCTATTAGTTAAATCAATACATTAATCAACTTTAGATAAAATTTAATTATTAGTTTCTGGTGATAGCTCATTATCTCCTGATGTAAGTAATTTCAGACTAATAAATCCTACTACATTATATATTTCATAAAAATCCCGTCTGAAATCAGAACAATTTGGACAGAAAAAGAAAAAATGATCAGCAGCTTCACGCGGTGCTCCACAAGAACAACTGCCATCTTGAATAAGGTGGTGAGTAAACTTATCGAAGTTTAAGTCACTTGCTTTGTGCCTGATTTGACAAAGTATGATATTAAGATTCCTAGGATTGCACTGTTTAAAGATCACGGAAATATCATCTACTTGATTATTATAATAGTTATCAAGTTTATATTTGAACGAAGAAAGGGAATTAGCAGATGTTATAGAAGAATCTTATAAGTTCCATAAGGTCATTGTATCAAGAAACTACTAGTGTTGTAGATATGAGTTCGAGCTTGAGGTACATTAAAGAATCTAGTATGTCTTAATCCATATGGGTTATTAGCATTATTAATAAAAGGTACAATAATATTATAAAGATAGTCAGGTGTTAAGCGGTTTATTATCTTATACATTAGAATTAATTTTATGTTTATGACGACTTAAATTTAAAGTTTCCATATTTACCTCAAGGTATAATTTTCGATGAGATGTCCCACTTCTTAACCCCGATATAATTTTCATAGCTTCAATTTGAACAGATTCAAGCATACTAGATTCTCCAATGGTACAGTTATTCCAGATAATATCACCATACTCAAGCACAGGTCTTATATAAGAATAAAACATTGTTTCCAATGATTATCTATCGATTTTATATTTAAGCATTCTCAATATGTTTATTCTAATGCAAGCTTTAGTCCTATGGTTTTGTTGGTATGGAATTTAATTTTCCACTTATTTGCCCAAAGTTTAACCGTTCCGAATCCTGGTTTTTACTTTTTTGACAACACTTGTTTTTTAAATACTCAAAAACTACCTCGTTCTATGCATATCTTGTCTATGAATGCTAAATGTTGTGTATATATTTCTTGGTTTTAAAGTTTTACTTTTATATCAACATTGTTATGTCTTTAACAGCATAGGTTGGAAGGTTGTATACTTTGACAAACTTAATTTCATTCCTGACACCAATATGATTACAGAGTTTGAATCACATGTATTTAAAGCTTAGCTTGTCCTATGTACTAAGGTATTGACGAAAAAAACATTCAATCACTCCACATTTTTTTTATTACATTTTTGAAAATACTTGTTTTTTAAATACTTCCTCATCCTATGCAAGTCTTGTGTGTTTATATATATATATATTGTTTATTATAGTTTTTATATTTACTTGTGTGTACTAGTGCAACTTGTTAAAGTTGCACTAGGCAAACTTTATAAGTCTTTATGAAAGAGTATTATTTCATTGGTGCTCTATACTTGTTGAATTAATTTCAACATTTTTATAACTTTTGTAGTAGGAGTATAAAGTTTGATTGACTGTAAAACTTTGTGAATATAATACTGTTTGTATCTTACTATTCCATACAATTACTATTGGCATTGTTGTTGAAACTTAAATCAAATCATCTTCAGTTCACTGGTGTGTGATGTGTGTCTGATTACAAATGTTTAGGTTGTGGATTAAACTTTACATGATGTTCGAAAAGAGTTGTTTAACTGTGTTTAATTCTTCTGCATTGTTTTTGCAATGTTTGATAAAATACTCAACTTACAGACACTATATGAAACTTGTTATTGCTTAATCAGAATGATGTGTAATATTTTAATTTTGTTGATTAAATTGTTAAATTTTAATATCTTTGTTTGCTTATTTCTATTAGTTGTCTCATTAAATATTTCAGGCTGTGAAGAGTATTTTCTAATGTGTATATATTCATATATGATTTGGTATAATGTCCACCTGGACCTAGTCTGAAGACACTAAATGTTTACCCTATATACACATAAGGTTGCAGTGTTATTTACATGTAAATTTAATTTTAGATAGATTCGAGTTCGGCTCCTTGCCTTAGTTTATTTTTGCAAGTTATTTTCGTATTTTCAAAAATGCTAGCTCTCATATATTTTGCTACGCGGCCTCGTTTTGAATTCACAAGGGTACGCTTCCATGCTGGTGCTACGGCGGAACTGAGCTCAGTTTCAATTACCTCTCCCACCCTCCCAGTAGAATTACCAAGGTGCTGAAGGTTTATTAACTGGCTTGCTTACTACTTGTATTTTGTTTAAAAAAATTAATACCATGTATGTATAATCAGGGATACTGTCCCTGGTATAATATGCTTTGCACATAGTCAATAGTGTGTGGGAGATTATTTCTACAACATTGTATAACATGGTTTAATTGTTTTTATTTGTTTATAGCAATTATGTGAATATTGTTTACCTTGTATGTTTTAAAACCATTCTGAATTTAGCTATGTCTCCGCTTTGATATATATAAAACCTAGGTAAATCACTGCTATTTAAACTCACTGTGTATAGAATGCTACCCTCTACATATGTATAAGGTTATGATTAAATCTATGTTGCTCTCACCGTGGACATGTTCGGTCGTGCATGATCCCCTCCACACATTCTTTACGGTGATGTGTATTGCATTATCGCCTAAAACATTTTACCTCCACATATAGTATGTGATATAATCCCTCCACACATTCTTTCCTATTGTGTTGCACATTAATCCCTCCATACTTTCCATGGGTTCTCCGTCCCCTATTGCGTCATACATGCATATCTAGGTCAAAAGGTCACCCTCCACACCCCTCCACAAAATGTGTGGAGGCGTAGCCGTAAAACACCACTACTCATGGCAAAAGTGAAGGCACGAAGATAGCGTAAAAAATACTGACCAATCGCTAGGCTGATACTTGTCCTTTGAAGATTACAATGGAGAGATGCCCGACTTCAAAGCCTGTTAAATTTTACCGTTATGTGACCGCGAGATTCTTTTGATGTACATCAAATGATCGAACCAGTCTTCTTGTCTCATCAACAAGGTGGCGCACATCGAGCCTTCAATTTTGCCATGACATATTCCAGGGGTGTAGAGAGCAAACGTGAGCGTAACCCCTGGATATCGAGAATGTCAAATAGCTAGCCGCATGACTTCAATTTTGCTATGACATATATTCCAGGGGTGCAGAGAGCGAAAGTGAGGTAACCCCTGGACATCGAGGATGGGACAATCTAGAAAGTCAACAAGCTTCTAAGCCTTCGTATTTTGTGTTTGTCAAAAGACAGGTCTATCGTTCTCCAGCTTCCAAATGTGCTAGACCAATTGGCAGAGATCTTAGATGATTGAGGTACTGCCAGTTATATGATAAATTATGAACATTATCACTAAAAGAAAACAGCAGATATTGTTAAAACAAGCCGAACACTTCAAAGCAGCGTCCTATGGCTAAACGTATTTGTCCTGTATGCACATTTTAAATGACTTATCAGAGGCAGTAAGATCCGTAGCATTTTCTCCAGATAAATGTAAGCTGACTAAAATAGGGAGGGATGATGAAGGCAGTGTCTTACACCTGTACAAGACAGCAGACTTAGTAAAGAATCAAATTTACTTTAAAGTGGAAAATAATGGGGGAAAAATCAAGATCTCGGCAAAGTCATCAACAATACCCTTTATCTCAAGAAGCAAGTCAATGCGACTGCGAAATAAAATATTCGAAGCGGAG